GGCTGCGCTTACTACTCCACCTAGTCCACAACCCATCCCCATTTTTCGTTTACCACGCATAGCTGTCACCGTTGTCCAAGCAGCTAACTTTTCTTTAAGCCCCGTATCTTTCGACTTGAAAATCGCCCACGCCTTTTCCTGTAATATTCTGTCGGCCTCGTGACGATCACTGAACACGTCACTTTTATCGTAAGCAATATCGTGTTCTCTACAAGCGTTATCCAATCGATTGATACCCCGTTGACCGGCGGCCAGCCTTTGACGTAGACGAGTCCCGGGTCCACAAAACTGATAACCAGGATAATGCAACTCTACCGGTAATCTATTTATAATAGAGTTTAAAAGACCCGAACCTTTGTTGCTCTTTAGCTTTCGAGACGAAGACATCATATGTTCATTTCTTTCAATCGACAGTCATATTTATACCATGCGATTTGTTGAACAAGATCATAAACTCCCTATTGTCAATGCAGATATAATAGACGTCAATAGTGTGGTATCAAAACACGGTCCTCTTCTATCAAACACTATTCGCGCCCTAATAGCTGGACCATCGTCCTGTGGTAAAACCCAATTGATCTTTACACTGTTGACTGCAGACAATGGATTAAAATTCGAAAACGTATACATTTAATCCAAGACTTTGGGTCAGGAAAAATATAAATTACTCGAGCAAATTATTCGTCAAGTCGATGGTGTAAACTTGTACACGTTTTATGAAAATGAAACAATAATGGTTCCGGAGAAAGCAAAGGAAAATAGTATTTTTATTTTTGATGACGTAATTTCTCAAAACCAACATATTATCCGTGAATACTTCTCACGTGGGAGACACAATAAAATAGATGTTTTCTATTTAGGTCAAAGTTATTCGAAAATTCCAAAGCTTTTAATTCGTGATAATTCAAATCTAATTGTACTTTTCAAGCAGGATGAATTAAATTTAAAACATGCTTACGACGACCACTGTAGTTCAGATATGACTTTTTCCGAGTTTAAAGACTTTTGTAGAGCATGTTGGAATCGAGATAAATATGGATTTGCAGTGATATGTAAGGATTTTATTAGAGATCAAGGAAGATATCGAAGCAAATTTGATACATTTGCTTTAATATAAAAGACCATGCTCGCAATTTATAGTTATCATTTGCACTGCAGTTACCATGACGGAAAAAAACAAAAATTTGTTATCAGCGTTAACGCAGGCCAAGGAAAGTATTAAGAGAAAGTATATAGCTCTGAAACAAGGTGAAGCAGATACAGAATCGTTAGTTACACAGAGTTTTAAACCAATTATTGATCCACTGACGAAAATAGCAAATAAAAACACGAACAATGGTGGTGATGACTACCAAAGTTTTGAAAATCGCGATCAGGTGTTTGATGACCCTGTATTTCAGTCACAACAAGCATCGAAAGAAGTATCAACCGCCATAACGTCGAAAAAAACGGATCATACTGTGAGCGTTGGTATGATATTAGATAACTGGTTAATTTCACCACAAAGAGATAAAATATATGGACCCAAACCGGTTGATAATAAAGGTAAAATAAATTTCGGTCATTCTGAAATGGAATTCGATAGAAATTCATTACAAATTTCACTTGATGGTAGACCATTTCCCATGACCGTGGGAATACTACAATTATTGTTTTCTAAAAACCCAAATAAGTATACAAAAATCGATACGAGAAATTATAAAAAAATGCTAGAACAATCATCAGCTCACTTAACTGTAGATGGTAGTCGGCTTAAAAGAACCGGTTCCAAGTATAATAAGATCATTTCAAAGATATTCCCCTCAGGCAGTGGTCTTTCCATGTCGCTGAATAATAAGAAAACAAATTACGTATATTGGAATCAGCCTGAAGAATTAATTACCAGATTACGTTTATTACATGCAGCGAGAACTGCAGGCAACTCAGGGGTCAATAATGAAATAGTTTCTATTTATGAAGAACTTTATGAGCAGGGTATTATAAAAACGATTCCACACGATGATACCGATAACTACTACTAAAGAAAGTATTGCTTCAGAACTGCATCGACCAGCTCGTAAAAATTTCACTAGGCGGAGAGTTATTTTGAAGGGGAAAGGTGATCTTTTGCAAGCCGATATTGTTGAAATGACCAGTCATTCAGTGAAAAATCGGAAATTCAAATATATTCTTACCGTCATTGACTGTTTTACGAAAAAAGCTTGGTGTTTTCCTCTGAAGACAAAAACTGGAGTCGAAGTCACTGCAGCCATGGAGAAAGTACTCATCCCCCACCCAACAACTCACCTTATGACTGATTCCGGGAAAGAGTTCTATAATAAGCATTTCATGGCTTTGATGAAAAAATACAATGTTAACTTATACTCGACATATTCCGCTCTCAAAGCTAGTATAATTGAGAGATTTAATCGCACAATTAAATCAAAAATGTACAAACAATTTACAGCTCAAGGTTCATATGAATGGGTTTCTATCTTGGATAGCCTCGTAGATACGTATAATAATACAAAACATAGCACTATTAGAATGACACCGAATCAGGCCGAGGCTAACCCGTCTTTGGTTGTAATACATGGTCGTAAGATACCTGAGCAGAAATTTCGCTTTAAAGTTGGCGACAGAGTAAGAATTTCTATGTACAAAATCATCTTTACTAAGGGTTATCTTCCTAGCTGGAGTAGTGAAATTTTCAAAGTAGTAAAAGCTAATCCTACATCTCCTCCTACTTACTACATAGAAGACTATACCGGTAAACCCATAGCAGGTAGTTTCTACAATGAAGAATTAAGCAAAACTCTATATCCTGATGACTATCTGGTGGAAAAGGTCTTACAAAAAAAAGGATCAAAAGTTCTAGTAAAATGGTTAGGATTTGATTCAACACATAACTCATGGATAGATAAAAACGATCTCAAACTATGATGAATTAATTATTCATAATGAAAAATAATTTCAATGATGAAATTAATCGATATTGTTAAAAATCGCATTATATAAAATATATTAAATAATGTATTAGTACATAATGTTCTCACTAGTTGAAAGTCTGTCGACTATATTTCCAAACAGTCATCATTTAGACCAATATGATGCAGTATCGCTCTCACGGTGGACTGACGATGTCTACATCCTATTCCAACGACTCCGGACCCAATTAAATATTAAATATATATGAATGTTTGAACATCGTTTGGATCGATACGAATTGGAGTCAGTACATCGCATGTCGCAGACGCAACCAGATGAACTAGAATGGGTAATTACCAATCGTTGATCTATTTTTACCGGGACGTTCCACCGCATTTGTGCAAAGCGTGTAAGTTTGAAGATGCTGAATGTTTTGTCAGTAAGTCCACATTGCCGTGTTACGGTTTGTATTTGACCGACCTGGATGATGATGTTGAACCGGACAGTCAATCGATGTTCGAAGTGATAAAATATAAGAGACAAGTATGCACAGCTTTGAACGCGCCGTCGAGAAAATCGTATCTGTCACTCGTGCCATGGCGTCCATGTCAGTTGCCGAGCCACATGCTGGGCAAAATTGTATATTCTAAAAAAATAGTCGGGTACGTGTCAATGAAAGCTACCGATTTTAACGATATTTTACATAAAGTTAAAATGACAAAGGATATTTTCTTGTCAACGTGTGAAAATTCATACGGTGTAAATTTTAAACCACTGAAAGAATATTCACCGTTTGCCCGGCTGTTCACTGCGTACGATGATGACGACTGGAATATCTTTTTCGTGGACAATACCGGACCGATGTCGTGGAAAAGAAGATATAATACAAACGGACGGGAATATATTTTGGATGCTCTTACATAGTCAAGATGGTAATCATCGATGAGTTAGGGTAATTTTAATATTAACACAGTGTATTAGTATAAAATAGTGATTAGTATATCGACAACCATGGACGTGTTTGGTGGTTCATTAGAAGGCAAAAAGAATAAATCAATCGGAAATCTCCAAGTTGGATTGCAGATGCTTCAAAATAAGGTAGACGTACACAATATTCTTTTCCGTACTCATCGAGCGGATATAACAAAATGTAGTGATACAATTACTGATATTCGAACTGCCGTACAAAAAATCGAATCTTACATTCAACTAATGGCAGCAAATATAAAATTCGATTCACCTATTTTAGTATATGATCAATACAGACTACAAACTGAAATAACTATTAGCGTTGAGGACAGGTCAGACGATTTAGTAGATAAGATTCAGGAATAAGAAGAGTTAGTAATATATTGTATTTAATCATGAAAAGTCGTGTTCTGTGTTGCTTGCTTATATAATATAACAACATAATTTATAATACAAGAATGGGTCGCTTGATACTTGATATGCAGTGTGTACTAGGATCTCATGGAAAATATCTAATAAAGGAATTATCGGCTATCGATACCGAGAGCTGTGCAGTCCAACACTGGATATTCAAATACTCAACAACCATGTTTCAAAATGCCAAGTCTCGTTCTATTAATAATTGGTTAGAGCGTCATTTCCATAAAATGAGTCTCACATACGGTGATGTAGAATGCGAGGAAATTGGAAGAATATTAAATTCATTACAAGCTCGAAACATTTACGTGAAGGGGGAACAAAAGAAACAACTTCTTTTGGAATATTTACCTGGTATAACTATTATAAATATGGAATTAATGGGCTGTCCAAGAATAGATGAACTCTATCCTAATGAAGAATTCGCTTGTTGTCTCTTTCATAAAGAACTGAATCCCAAGCTATGTACATTTTACAAAGTTTTTACTTTGAGAAAATGGTTTTTGGAAAATGTGTAAATAATATACTTTTTTAGTTTTTGTAAAAGATAATATTAAAATATTTATATATATATATATATATATATTGTAGAAAAATAATTGTTTACATTGTAATATATATTATATGATGTATACTTATATAATAAGAAATCTTTTTTATATGTATAAATAATAAATCGAATATTTTTTTTCTTTTAAAAAATTGTTGTTGCATTCTTATAATCCGCCTGCCTCTTGAAGTTCTCTAGAATAATAATAATAATATGAATGAACATTTTTTTTAACTATCATTATTATATATTTTATTTACTTGATTTTATAATGACCAATCGCTAAAGTGTGAATTCTGTCATGAAGTATGATCCTCTTATCATCATTTCGGTTTAGTGCTAATTTCATTGTTTTGATGGTACAAATTTGATGTTTGAATGATCGTATAGATATATTCTCTCTGTATGGAGTATAATCGTAGCGATAGGATGTACTACCCGCTGTATTTAAGTCATGGTGAGCATACTCTACGGTCTTAAGAGCACAATTATGAGCAATCATTTTGGCTTCTGCTTTATTTAAACCGTAAATGTCCAAATCATCATCACTGTCATCATCGAAAAGACATCTTTTAAAGTCGTCAAGAACCATGTGTTTTTGAGTTACATAAGTTCTTATACCTACAAAAGAAAATAATTGTTTTCCATATAACCGGTATTTTATACATAGATATTATACTAATACAACAAGGTCAGAAAATAAAGAAAGTGGTCCTCAAACAGTATACGCACGTGTATACCATAGGTTATGTAACGCATGAAAGTTTTTAATTTTTAATGAGATATTATAAAAAAATGTTGTGAATCTTAACAGCTTTAGTAAACCAAAGCAATCAGCATAGGAATTATTTCGATTAAATCATATATTATTAGAAATCGTTTATATTATATTATTATATTTAAACACTATCATATACTTATCTACCTGTTTTGAAAAACTGACGCCTTAACCCACTAAGCCATTAAGATTCACAAATTGTATAATGTATTTTATACCATTTAAATAGTAAACTTTTTATTTTATTTTTAATAATTTATAATACCTTTAGCTTTTATTTTTTCTTCTGTATTCCATTCTGTTTCCAGAGACTTATAAATGTTTTCTTTGCTGAACCCGTACAATTTTGATCGCAATGCAATTATCTCATGCATCGTAAGGCCAGCTAATTCATCAGTGAATGTCCCCGGAACTTTTTTGCGTTCTACTGAGTAACATGGATGATCAGGTGGTAAATTTGACGTATCCATCCGATTTAAAAGTTCTGGTTTTTTTCTGACATCTTCATAAAAGTCTTTGGTCTTTATTAAATATATAAGTGAGTCTAAGGGGAACAATTTATCATTTTATTTATAACTAAATACAGCTATTCTTTATTATTATTCATATTTTAAAAAAAAAGGTACCTGTATCACCATAAATGAATTCAATAGCATCTTTAAAATGCTTGCGCATAACGTTGTAATGGTAATCGTACATCAAAACTTTGCTTAGTTCCAGCACCGCAAAACCTACGTATACTGGCTTACAAAAATTTATTATCTTATTCTCCAAAGAAATAGCTGCAAGGTTATCGTTGTATGTAGTGCAGTGCTTAAAGGTGGGTTTGTTTATTAATTTTTGAATTCTCCGAGGATTGGAAACAAGTTCAATCTTGACACGCTTTCGCATCGATTCCATCGTTTTACCTACAATATACACACAACGTTGGATGTATCGTAATATTAACTATATATATTTTTTTTAAATAAATTTATATATATATGTATATTCAAACCAAATACAGCGTTGTTCATCAACTTGAAAAAGTTTTTTTCAAAATCATTTAATGCACATTTTCGCTTTTGAGTGTTTAGATCAATATAGGAAGCAAGCCAAGGTGATTGGCGGAACTGTAAAACTCTATGTACCTGTATTATTCATAATATAGGGTTAATTATTTTAAATTATTTTTTTTTTAAGTATAGAAAGTAGTTTTTTTGTTTTAGAATTTGGTGGACATTTGAGCTCGGGGAGGAATGGATATTCGTTATGATCATTGTGTAAGCTGGTCGGATAATTCACATCTACTTCAAAAAACATGCCCACTTCAGACTTTTCCGTCATCGAGTCCAAACCCTTCAGTGCTTCCTCCCCACTTCCGGCGTACCATTTAAAATCTGAACATGGCATGTATTGACTCATAGCATACCCATATAAATTTGTAGCATCTTGGTAAATCAGCCATGAAGTCGGATCGTTTGGATTATAACCGGGTGTTTTAGGGTTATTCGCTCGAGCCCATCGTGTGCAAGCTTGCACGAGACCTCCACGAATTCCATTTTCAATTAATAACTGCATCTCATAGTCACTCAATAAATCTAACTGTACCATGCTATGTTTTAACATGCTGTCAAAACTCAACCCAGGACTTGTAAAGTAGAACACGCTATCTAAATTATATGTACTCATACATAAGTCACGGAATCGTTCAAATACATCGGCAAGTGTCATTATATCCACTTTCATGTATATATCGCTGTAGACCCCCAAGGTATCACATTTAAAGTGATCCCATACTTGCACTGCATGTTTATAATCGTCTACACTAATATGATCAACCGTGAGTGAGTTGAAGAACTCCTCACGAGCTGGCAAGCTGGTGACCTCAAGTTTAGACCAACCGTCGACGAAGGTATAAGGAAAAACGCCTTTTTTCGTTACCAATGACATGTCTTCGGGGCAAAATACTTTGGCCGTCTCCCGAAAATTTGAAAGTCCTGCTTTAGCGAGATCTGCGGTCAATGTAGACAGACTTGATGGCATGAAACGACACGAGTCCAAAAATCGGATTGAAAAATTATTTTTGATATATTTTGTAAATGCTATATATTTTTCCTCGCTGGTTGGTATAATATTGATTGGTTTATCATCATATCCTAGTTGAGTGACGATATAGTGCATATCATAGCAGCTGAGGTTATGAAAGAATACGGGTAAAAAATTCGGTGTGCGAAGCTTGAGATTGCATGTGTTGCAAAGTGTTTGTCTGAATTTTCCACATAAATGATCATGGTCAGCTACTTTTTGATTGGAATCCGTAAAACTACACCGACAGATCTCACAACTTATGGCAGCTGCATGCCTCTGAGCTTCTTCATCAGTAAATCTAATAGCTGTATTCGTCTGAAGTAGCGCGCTTATATTTGTCGCTACTTCAACGAGTGCTTCCACAAAGCGTTTTGCTACTTCTACGGAATCTATCGTCTGCAATCCACGAAAACATATGGGTGTTAGAGGAATATTGTATCGTTTTAAAAGCTCTATAGGAATATTATCTGCAGCTTTTACATACAAACCCATATGACATTAACTTATGTTCATCGATAATTTTAGTGTTTCCGCCTTTGCTGCCTGAATTATTGGGTTTGATTAATAGAGCTTCAAAATCTGCGTACACGACAAACGGATGTCGAACTGTTTTGCCCCAAGCTTCGAATTTCAAAGTCGAACCTGCTTCGGGCATTACCGGCAAAATGGTTTTATGTTTGTTACATATCTGTCTGTGTTGATCGAGCGCCTCCTGACCTGATAATTTATGGAGTTTCGGACGAGTATCGAATCCTGTGAAACATTTTTTACAAAAAACCATTTTGCTATGGTTTTTCGTTTTTTGGCTATGTATCAACCTCGCGAAATTTGAAATATAGGTGAAATGACTTAAGCCCGTAGTTTCATCCTCTATGACCAATAAATCAAAATGATCAATTTTTTCCGAATTCGATACACGTAGCGGATAAACATAATGAGCCGGTTTGAATTTAGTATGGCCCGGTTGTTTTTCCAAACCATATACATTTATAGATACCGCAGGATTATCGATCTCGAAGATTTTAATATTTTTAAGAGGTGTTCGATATATAATCCTATTAAAATTATACATTTTCTCTAATTTTTTATAATTTTCCCCAACGTGATTTTTATTTCCCGATGACACGTGCTTAGCTAAAATGGCCCATTTAAAACATTCATTGTCATTCAAGTTCATAGGATTAATGACCGCCTTTTTTCTTATAATATCTTCGGGTAGATATATATGGGATGATGCCCGTAACGGTGTAAATACATACACTCCCAGAAGTATTCCATCAATTGTTTGAAGGGAATAACCAGAGCCCTTGGCAACATACTCATCTTCTTCTTCGAGGAGCTTTGTAAAGTCATCAAGAACTGCAGCATTCAAATCACTCGCCGAATAAAGCTCTCTAGCAGACGTTTTAAAGCCCGATTTTCTGTTGTGTTTTCCTGCTGCGGTATACTATAAGTTGCTTCTAGTTTTAAATTGTATTTAATTGGATGAATTGACGCCATTGAACTTAAAAGACTAGATATTTGTGGTTTGCAGTTGTTTAAAAATTCATTATAATCTAATGTATTGTTTATATTTTTTTTATAAAACCATTTAATTTTCCCCTTGAACGATGACTCGATATGAATAAAATTATCCTGACCCGCGGTCGCCGCCATAGACATACGAGCGGTTTTTTTACGTTTATTACACATCGTATTCTCATTATAATAGCCGGGTTCAATCGTAGTATTATTCAACAATTCCCCATCAGCCGTTTTTATTTTTTTAACCGACTGTGTTGTTGGTAGTGGGTCAGACGTACAATCTACACCTGTTAAATATTTACTTATTTATATATATTTATATATTGTTAAAAACAAGTCTTACCGTTACGAGGGTCAACAGTTTCACTTGGTGTCGTAAAAAGGGTGTCATTAGCCTGCGCGTTTGACGGAATATATGTTATTAAATTCGATTGTTCTTGTTGTTGCTGTCGCTGATTAAAATCTACGATAAAAATACGAAATTACGAATAGAATATTATGTTTTTTATTTTTTTTTTTATTTCTACTCACTGTTAAACACTTGTCCTATACCGTCAATAGCGTCATTAAAATCAACCCCATTTTTAGCAAGATCTATAATAGTATAAATTGTTTTTATGTCCATCGATTTTAATGCTTATTTTTAATAACTACTGTTTAAATAAATGTAATATATTTAATGCTTTACTTACGATGTACGGTTCTCACATGACGCAACAAATTTGATTTTTGACTAAAAACTCTATTGCAAGCGTGACAAGGAAATTGAACGTCAGTGTGTTTTATGCCATGTCTGTTTAAATTAGATTTGTTTGCAAACGATTTACCACATTGTATACACGTAAACATGATGACTTTTAGATAGTACAATTAATATAAATTAAAATAACACGGTTGTACAAAAATAATAAAAGTTTTTTTAAAAGTATTAAAAACAGCTATGAACGTAAAAGCGTAACATCGACTGACACACGACTAAACCATATTCTTGAATAAAACATTAGTGCGGGGCACTAGTTTTCTTTTCTTTATTTTAGAAAGTTGTTTCTTTTACATATTTTTTTAAAAGTAGGAGGAGAGAATATAGAAGGATAGTTGTTAGAATAATTTCTTAATAAATAAATGGGGTTATCTCTCAATGTAATAAAAATAAATGTTTTATTTTTTTTCATACAATAAATAGCTATTTACTTATTTAAATACATAATATTTCCCATTGTCTGTAATGTTATCACATACATTATTTATGTTTGTGAAAATACATAAATCACACTTGCAACAGTCATCTACATCTTGCATGGTTTCAGGTGATGAATTAGTTTTAGTTTCAAAATCTGCAAGTTGTTCAATCACGTTTTCATCTTCACGCTTAGGAGCCTGTTAATAATAATAGTAATAACACTTATAATGATTGTTTAGTTAAAGTATTATATAATAATGTAAAATCTATAATAACCTCTATTTCAGAATGTTTAAGTTCAACCCAAGCGTCAGCAACAGATTTCGCTGCGATTGATATAAGTTGGTTGATATAGTCAGGTTTATCGTTTGAGATTAAGCTAGAAATCGTTTCTTGACTCATTTTTTGTATGTAGCATACCATTTCATCGCTGTGAAAACTGTTTTTTTCTTTCCACTGAGAGTCTAAATATTTTACAAATATTTCGAGTTGTTCTAACACGATAAGACGGGTTACATACGATTTGTGGTAATATACTGCATTAACAACGTGTTGAAGTTCTTGAATTTTCAATAATTCCTCACGACAAAGTAAAATTTTGGAGTATGTATCACTTTTAGCCTGTACAACTAATAAATGCTGCCCACGTGAAACTAATTTTGAAATTATGAAGGATTCATCTGTTAACAGTTTTTTCATAACATTTTTTTGAAACTTTTTTTCGTAGTTTTCTAAAGCGGTTTGCTCAATCGACAAATTGGTCAATATTGTACTCATAGCAGATACTAATCTGCTAAATAAGATTATACCGACTGTCACATAACTTGTAGAAGTCAAAATATGTATTTTAACATTAAATGTCTCCTTCGGGTCTAAGCCGATTTGAATATATTTTCTACTACTATAGTCAATTGTAAACACCGTACAGTCTATTAACTCATGTGGCGGACGTAACGTACTATATTTTCTTTTTTTGTAAGTTAATTCATTTTTTTTTATTAAACCGGTCATTTTAAAATACTGAAATGTTGAACCGAAATAACACACAACGAACAGCACAGCACTCTATTAGACACTAAATATCATGAGCTACGGAATCCGTATCGAACAAGTTTTTTAGTACCCCACCATATGTAAATTATTAGAAAATAAAAAACATTCTTGTCGAGAAAGTTTGTTTAACCGATGCATATGTATTTTTATTTTTTATAATAACACAAGATTTAGCCTTGACATCTCCTGTACCTAAAGATTTTATTAAAAGAGTGGGGGATATATAACTTTTCTTTTAGAACATCATACTACAGTTAGTTGAAACGGTTTAATACGTTTTTCAAGTTCTACAAGAACAGACGACTTTATTTATTTACTCCGTACATAACAAAAAATAAGGTAATAATATATCTTCTTATAAAATATAAAAATATTTATATTACATATATATATATATATATACATATATATTTGTTTTTAGCATGGCTAGTTTCGCCAATTTACTCAAGTCAAAAGTTGAAGAGTCCGAAAAAACATATGCCAAATCAATCAGTATAGGCGAGCTGGAAGTGAACGCCAAATATCAGATAGAAAATGTCAAATTAATCGCCAGTAAATTCGGACCTAACTTCACGGTAGTACGCATGACGATAAAAAAAGATGGTCTAACATATGGAGTTTTTCTACCACAATCGTTCAAACTCACGGAACAGGAATGCGCCGAGTTTGAAAACAAAACAGGTCCGGTGTTTTTAATTTTTAGAGGCCGTAGACAGAATAAGTCATTCATTATAGACTTTGAGACATAATTTTTTTTTAACAGTGTGAAAACAAAATATCTAAAAAAATAATAAAACGTTTATACTATCTTATTTTTTGTGCTAATATTTGAAAATAAATACTTATAAAAACTATAAATTAATATGATTCTTGGAATCTTATGTTTTTTATGTCGATAACTTATTACTGTTAATACAATAATAATAATATTATAATGTTGAACCATAATATAAAATAAGTGTATTGAAATATTTTTAAACCTGTAAAACAAATGTATGTTTCTTTCTCATATTTATTTATTTGTAATAGTTTACGAGTTTTTGACAATAATATATTATTTTCTTTTTCTAAATGAGTGATTATGTTTTGTTTGTAATAATTTAAAAGAAAACTGGTTTACCTCACAGCGTATCAATAACATTATACTATCTAAGTTGTTATTTAGTCTCTGAGTTTTTACGACCGTTAAGTGGTGTGATTTTTATCACACACACACACACATACACATATACACAGACACGCATGAATGCATACATGCTGTGTTTTCAAGTTACGTATGGTTTAAACACATATATGGTAATTAATATTAGGCTATGAGTAAAAACAAAATGTTACAGTATTTTTTCTTTGTACAGAATATATTTAAGAAAAATATAATACATAAACAGAAATACTATCAATTATAATAATAATAATATAATAAACAATAACAATAATAATAATGCTGTTAACAATAATATGGTATATTTACATTTGTGTATATTAAGAAAATCTACACCGGGGGTGCATGACATTGAAATCTAGACACCTAATATTGGATATGATTCAGAAATTGGAATAAAGTAATTAAAATAAGCCCTGACTATTTCCGATTTTAGGATCAAGTCAGGGTTTGCGGCACGTATCAAATTAATATCTGTTAAGTTTACCCAGACCTCCAGTCTGGCTCCGCAAACTTCACATTTTTTAAAGTTTGTTAAGTCCAATATTAAGTGTCCTGGTTGGAAAGTTTGTTTCCATGTGACAACCCTTTCAAGATCCCCCTCCGAAGTGATAGCTCCATAACTGCAAATAGAAGCGTTTATGTCGCAAACATAGTACTTTCTTCTCGTGGTTCTCCCTTCTAAATTTATACTGCGAACAGTCCCACATTTGTAATTACTTAAGATAAAATTGGT